TGTATTACAAAACAAGAAATGAGCCCTCACAGGGCCTCGCCACACCACTCTCGAATCTTGAAAAAATTCAATAGCTGTCAGAACTTTTCGAGAGGGCGGTTTTCAAGAGGAAAGGGCCCTTCGCCACACAGCACACTCGACATTTTTCCTCTCGAATGTGGATCTTCTCCGCGCCGATTCGGTAGTGCTGTGTGGCGGAGCCTAACTCTAGAATTGGATGCATGTCCGGTACTGCGCGGAGGCCGTGCTGAGGGGAAGCCTTCCTCACTGTCAATCCACCGAACCGCAAAGATGGCTTGTATACATGCGTCAACCGCCTCTCGAAGATGGAGTATTTTCGAGAGTTGCTTTCGAGATTGCGCATTTCTCCTTCGGCGCACTACCGTCCAAACACGGCCTGACAGCTCTCGAAACGGAGCACGATCTCGAGCGCCGACGGGAGGTATCACGAAAACCACAAAGCTGCAGGCTGGGCGAAAACATCTTTTCGAGAAGGCCCTCGAAACCGGCCTTCTGACAGCTCTCGAAAAAATCCGAGGTTTTTTTTTTCGCGAGGCTGTGTGGCGATGCCCAACTCTCAAATTTTCGAGATTCGAGAGTGGTGTGGCGAGGCCCACAGTCTACCTGGAGACAGGGTTGTGAGCATGACCCAGCTTCGCTTACTCAGGACAACCCGAACAGACCCTTCTTCAAATGACGGCCCCGTCGACTCCATTTCCGATTCCCTCCTTTTGCACTTTTGCAGCTTGATTCATAATTTTCCGATTCCGTCCTTTTGCGCTTTTGCGGCTTGATTCACAATTTTTCGATTCCCTCCTTTTGCGCTTTTGCGGCTTGCTTCAGAATTTTCCTAATCTTTAAAATCCGGATTTGATCGTGAGCAAAATGGCGGGAAAACGGTGGATATGTTTGTCTTTCTGACATTCGGAGAGAACTGGGGCGTTGAGTTATAACTTATAATTACCGGGATTAATATGGCGAGGGCCCGATTCTAAATGTATCTGGTACCGGTAATGGTCCAGATACGCACATTGAAAACAATATTCGAAATGTATATGGAACGGGTAATGGTCCTGATACATACATTTGCATTAAAAACGTTGAATCAATTTGAATGGGCTTGTAAGTTATAATTAYCGGCATTAATATGATGATTAGGGCCCCGAATTCAATAGGCAAGATTCGAAAAGATCTTCAACTGGTAATGGTCCCGATTCATAAAACGTTGGATTAATTTGAAAGTAGAACCTGGTCCCATCCACAGTCCAGATACATGTAAAATTTTGAGGAGTGCTGCCGCGAGGGCGTCATATTGCTAAAGATGCGCAGGTACGTTCTGATATGGGAGCTGGACGTGGAGAGTTAATGCGGGTATATAAGCTAACCGGGCTAGTCTC